GCACATTGTGAAATTAGTTTTTCTATTTATTTGTATAAAAAATTTGTGTTAGTGAAAATGGAAATTATAATTAATGTTTGTCAGCTTCTAGAAACCGTAAGTAATCATTTTAAAAATTAAAAATAATTATATATGTATAATTTTATTAATTTTTAATTATAATTTACAGAATACTAATGCTGCTGTATCGGCTGCTCATTGTTATTTTAAACGTAGTAAGGTCTTTTTATTTATATTATTTAATATTTAATATTTAAATATTTATTTATTTATTTTCTGTTGCTTAGGTGTGCAGGCAACGCACAACACGTTGCCCAACTCACCCAGATTATTGCGATTGTTCGTGAAGTAAGTATATTAATATTATTATTTAATTCTATACATATACTTATATAGATTTTTCATTTTCAGTGGATCAAAGAATCAATGACTGAAAGACTGGTCGCACAACAATTGGCCTATCAGATTGAGAAGACCGTAGAAGAGCGAGTGAGGGCGCAGCTATGTCGCCAGAAGCGCGCAGAAATAATGAGAAAAAAACAAGAATTCTCACGATTAGAGCGCAAGAGAAAAGCTGAGCTGGCCAAGACGGTGCAGGATGAATTAGCGGCCAAAATAAAAAAAAGATTAGTTCCAGCAGAATCATCGTCATCAGCGTCGCCCTCATCTGCATCATCTTCAGTATCGGAGACGTTGTCATCGTCGTCTACGTCAGCATCGTCTACCTCTGCGTCATCTACGTCTGCGTCTGCAACATCATCGATGCCTTCGCTCGACATTTTATAACAAGATGAGGCAATTGATTTGTCTACCAAGGTAAGAAATATATTTTATATATTTTATGCATTTATTTTAAACAAAATTAATTAATATTTTTAATATTTTACAGAGAACTATGCCGAAGAAGCCACAAATCAAGAGTAGTGAGGCTATTCAGCGTAGAATAATTATAATTCCAGCTGAACCGACAACGAGAAAGCCGACTCGCCCTCTCAAGGTAGTAGGAACGTATAAGAAGAAAGAAGACAAAATAAAATAAAATAATATTGTTTTTGTAATAATTAATATAAATTTTCAATAAAATAAATTAAAATAAATAAAATTATTAACTGTTTTAATTAGAGAGAGGGAGAGAAAGAAGTGAGAGAGTGAGAGAACTAGTGGTAGAGAGATAGAGAGAGGGAGAAAGAGAGAGTTACATATGCTGTTATGATTAGGTATTATATATTTAAAATTAAATTATTATTATATTTACAATTAAATGCTTTTATTCATAAAATTTGACGTGATGTACTGAATGTTACATATTTAAATTTATTTAGCTTATATTTAATTGTATTAATTCCAATTTATATTTAAAATTAAATGCTTTTATTCATAAAATTTAACATGATGTACTGTATGTTACACATTTAAATTTATTTAGCTTTGTAACGGTAAACGTAGAATTAGCGCTAATAATATAACCTAATTGCTGCTCGCAGGGGCAGCACCTACTGGGGAGATTAGGAACGTAACGAAGGAATTCGGCACGCGAGCAGACGGAACGCGCGCGCTTGAAATTGAACCAGTGAAGCATTGACCATCAACGAGTTCGCCCGTGTGTACGAAATCAGCTGTCGCTACCCGAGTTACCGGAGCCGAATTCCGTTCGCAAAGCATCCAGACTAGAATTCCAGAGACCGTCGCAGCCGAGGTGCCGTGTAGTTCCCAAGGGCGAAGGCTTGAGCCAGCAGACAAAAGCACCGTGCACTGTGATAACGCTAGTGCGTGCGTGAGGTTTCGCCATCGAGGGCGAAGCCACGATGTGTGTAAGTTCGCGACCCGCGACACAAACAAACAATAGCCCTTTTCTCGAGTGCGACTTATTGGTGTCATCTTCGAGCGTCCGCAAAACAAAGGTAAGCTGGCCAGCTTAATCTCGCGATCGTGATTGCATGCATAACAATTAATTTCTCGTGTTCGAAGCGTGCATGTAATAGCTCTGTTAAAAAAGAGCAGCGAGCGTCCCGACACTGTGTGTTGTCGATGAGCGAGCGCCGATGTCAACATAAACACGCGGGCCGATCCAATGTAACATTTGATAGACAATAAAAGGTTCTGTTCGTGTTATTAACAAGTGCTTTCGACTTATTCCATATTGCTTCCACTCATTTTCGTAGATTAGTAGATCTATCGGTTGACTGACACCTGTTTCCCCATGCTCTCCGGATTATGTATTGAGCATAGATGATTACATTCGCCCTTTAATGAATTCGCGCGAATAAAAATAATTAAACGGTAAGCAACCCCGTTACAGCTTATATTTAATTGTAGTAATTCCAATTTATTTAGAGAGTAAACTATATAAACTAATTTCTTCACATCACCGCTTATTGGATCTGCCAGTAGGCCCTCCGACAGAGTGCCTTCCCCAACCACCCATCCACCTACTCCACCCACCCACACCCACCTACAGAGGTTATTAAGGTAGGATGCTGTAGAAGTTGGTAGGGTATTTAGTAAGCTATATGATGGTTTCTCTCATTCTCCTTCTATAGTAGGGAGCATAGTAAGCTTATGCTGGCTAAGTTTGGGCCCTCGGAGAGGGGGTAGCGTCTCTAGCTTGCTAGGTGCGTACGCCGTTTAGTGTGGATGCTGTTCTCTCTCTCTCTCTCTCTCTCTCTCTCTCTCTCTCTCTCTCTATGATTATAAGTAGTTTGTATTAAATTCTAACAATATATATAGTGTATATGTATATGTATATATATATATATATATATATATATATGGGTCAGAATAACATCTTTTTAAAAAAGTGTGCGCACGGGGTCAACCGATCGGCCTGAAACTTGGAATATATATTCTGCATTACAAAAAAGTAAATTTCCCCAAATTTCAGCCCTCTAGGTCCAAAATAACGCCCTCAAGACTGTTTTAAAATTCGAAAAATCACCTTTTTTAAGCCATTTTCGGTCCATATTCAAACACCTCCCAAATCTCAAGTTTTTAAGCTACAGAAACGGGCGGGGTCGCATTTTCTTCGTCTCTTTAAGGGCTTTCCAACGAAGTAATATAAGATGAAGGTTTTACCAATACCAAGAAGCCTAGAGGCTTGTAACTGAACTGTAATTTTCACGTTTTTCGCTGATCTTTAAAGTCCTGTAGTATCGTTGGTTCTCAATAATTCTCATTTTTGAACGACAGTATTGGATAGCTCTTGAAAAGACAAAGAAAATACGATCCCGCCCGTTTTTCTAAACCTAAATGCAAGGGAGCTACGTCTTGTCAAAGTCAGCAATTTTCGCTGTAAATAGCGTTCTAGGCTAATTTTGAACCCGTCGGAAATTTTTCTATCAAGCTCGAGCGAGCTGAAAATTTCAGGGAATACTTATTAAGTGTTCCCAAACAAGGTCCAATATGTTTGACGGAGTATATCGAGCGTTTAGTCCTACTATAAATCCACTAAAATATCCGATTTTCCTCTTCCCGGCAGTTAACAAAACAAGCATGGGCAAGCTATCTAATGAATTTCTTGTGGCCTCCAAAATAATCCTTGTTTTCGGCTTATTACAATCAAGGGACTGCGTGAAATAAGGGCCCTCAATCGCAATGTGGATCTATCAATTGAGTTTTTAAAAGTACCTCCAACTGTTTATCAACATTCTTGATTATTGTTGCTTATTCCGGCTTAAAATATATATATGAAAATCATATGAAAGTCTTATGAAATCCTTATGACGTTCATATATAAATATTACTTTATACGACAAAAAAACGATACGCAGTGCAATATCGGTACTATATTCTAGTATGCAAGTTCATATACAAGTATTAATGAATACTCCTGTGTAAGTTCTGACATGAAAAATATTTCATATGGTTGCTGTGGAAATCGAAAAACAACCGATACTTCTTACCCTCAAATTTTCAGGAGGGTTTACATCGTATTATGACCAACAATTCATGAATTTCATTATTCCTATTAAATTTTTTCTCAATAACAATTGTATTTACAAAGAGAAAAAAGAAATTTTACTGAATGCTTTGCGAAATATAAATGTCTTACTCGAGATAGATTAGTAATTGGAAAAAAAGTAAAAAATGGTTAATTTTCAATGTTTAAATTTTCATAACTTTCCGAATCTGCATTTTACGGAAAAGTAACAAAAGTCATTTGTTTATAAAACGAACAATATTTCATAAAAAAATATGTAGTTGAATTGGAAAAAAACTATTTGTTTTTTGTAAGTTATTAATATGGTGTGAGAACAAAATTTTGATAATGAAGTTTAAAAATTCATGATAACACTGGGATACCATTGCAGAGCTGCGAAAGCGGTGATTTTTAAAATTAATGTCTAGCATAAATAGAATATAAAATAATAAATAAAAAGTATAAATAAAAATAAAAATAAAAATAAAAATAAAAATAAAAATAAAAATAAAAATAAAAATAAAAATAAAAATAAAAATAAAAATAAAAATAAAAATAAAATAAAAGTAAAATATAAATATAAATAAAAATATAAATAAAAAATATAAAATAATAAATAAAAATATAAATAAAAAATATAAAATAATAAATAAAAATATAATATAATAAATAAAAAGAATCATAAAGTAGTAAAAATATTGGAACTAATAGAATATGTATGAGCTTTACTTCTTCTACGTGTTTATTTGACATATGTACAACGGTATGTAAGTTATGGGTGTTTGTTTGGTATAATTCCGACTATTTTTAGTTGTCGCCACTAGGTGGGACACTTTTGCTTGGGCATTCGGATATCGTATATCGACCCCTCTATCAACGCTATTTCTTTGCTAATAATCTAGCTATATTTACATTTAACTATACCAGAGTCTGATGTGCTCATAATAAATTTGTTTTATTTAATTCATTAATTCATATATTTTCATGGTATATAAAGTTTCTTTAACGTGTTTTTTTTTATTTTAAAAGTTTTTGACTTACTATTTGACAGGAAAATATTATTATGGAAACTACATCTCAGTGTTCCATTGGGTTACACACGAATGAACCTTGCTTTTTAAAAATTTATAGCAAAAAGTCTGATGAAAATATTTTCAATATAAAAGATTTGGATGATGAAAGTATTCAACTTTTATACTCCAGAATACCTGGTGCTCAAGATTTACAAAATAAAAGTATTTGCGGTTATCACAGTGAAAAATTCATAAAATACTATTCAGTGAATCAAAAAAAAATGTTGCAATCCTTGGGATAAACATCGTGATAAGAATATCACTTCTGGATTGAAAGAAATGAAGTTAGATTTAATTTTGAGAGCTAAAGAGTGTAAGATCAATTTAATAGCAGGTCATAAAATATGTACAAATTGTTTATCAACATTAAATCAGTCAATTAGTGATTATCAAACAGAATACTTGAATTGTGTAGATCCTTATGAAAAACATAGATTTAAAATGAACAGTGGTCTTGTCATTTTAAATTTGGAATTCATTTCATTTTTGGAAACAGTTCACAACAAAAAATATACGACTGACCACAAAATATGTAATGCATGTGAAAATCAAATTCAATCTGAATTTATAGAATATGCGAAAGAAAAATTATCATCCCAACCACCAATCATTAACTCTTGTACAGAATTCTCAAACAATAGCAGTGAATCTCCAAATACTGAGAGTACAGCAGGATCAAGTTACGATACTGCTAGTCAAAAGAAGAGAAACTTTGATGCGATATTGGATGTATGTGGTATTCCACCTTTTAAAAGATTAAAGTTGAATAATGATCGAATAGCGACAAATGGAATTAATATAGTAGAAGATGTTGCATGTAAAGTTTCTGAAAGCTTTGAAGAAGCTTATGGTGTTCAAATACCTCGGTTTGAAAATTTGCAACAAATGCAAAATGAAAGTTCTTGGTTCAATGACATGATTACTGGTATTAAATTGAAATATAATGAAAGCAAAAATGTTGGAGAAAAAATAAGTTTATTAACTTTGCTGCCAGATAATTGGAGCTTCACAACAGTATCCAAATATTTCAATTGCACATACTACATATACGCTTAAGCTAAGAAAGTAAAGAATTCATTTGGTACGTACAGATGCTATTACAACATTTTGGTATGAATAATTATTAATTAATGAATAATTAAACATAGTAATAATTATTAATTAAACATATGTTTTAAGTTTATAGAATGTTGATTGAATGAGAACTAGGTTTTAAATTTAAAATCTGTAAATGATCATGAAAGTGTATGTCTTTACGTTACAAATAGAAGTACTAGTTTTTGTATGAAACCTATATCAAAGTAAAAACCTGATAATAAAAAAAATTGTATGATTTAATCTACATGATTTAATTTATTGCTTTCTTAGAGTTATTGGAAAATTAATTCAACTCAATATATTTCATTATTTCCAACAATCATCTTTCTATTTAAATACAGATTTACAAAAATTTTGAAAATATAAAAAGATCCTCCAAACATATTGATGTTTTTTTATTTGGAGAGATCAGAGTTATTTTATTATGGCATAATGTTATACTTTCTTGAATATATTTTAAAAATTGTGAAATTTTATTCTTATTTTGATTTGAAAAAAAATAAAAAGCTACTATAATTTTTGATAACAATTGAACATGTATTATCTTATTAATTTAGTAAGTGATTTTTTATTTGAACTCAATTTGTCGCGTTTTTTAGAGTGATTTACTATATGACATCACATCATGTCATTTCTCATGTGAGAAATCACCTGATTTCTCGTGGAATAAATCATAACAACAAACTACAATAAACAACTATATCAGTAGAAATATTTCTAGCTGAATATTTTTTGTTTCTTTATGTTCATTTTCTAACTAACCAAACACGGCGAGACTGATCAGACATTAATCACAAGTCGGCATCACATGCAATGTGAAATCAAATTTCTAAAAAAAGAAAATGTATTTTGTATGCATATTCAAATCTTTATTCACACCATTAAACCAATTTTTGCAACAATTATAAGAATTCATATGAATGTAGAGTTATCCTAAACTTAAAAATCGACAAAATACGAATTTTTTTTATTAATTCCTGGTTTATTGGTATTTTTCTTGGATAAAAATTATTTTTCATATCAAGAGTTGTTTTTTCTCATTCTACGGGATCTGTAAATTATATTTCTGCAATAACCCTAAAATTAGTTTTTTTATTTTTTGGTCACTTTTGAGGTGGAAAGCCATCTTAATTATCTTGCGTAAGAATACATGGAAGTGCCTGTTCTTTCTTCAGTTGTAAAAGATATTAGAAAATATTTAGCAAGTCTCTATACCATTTTCAAATGGCTAGATTCATTAAAACTTTTTAAAATAGATTTAGAAAATTTTGAAAATTGAAGTTCTAGTTGGATAAAATTGTGAAATATTCGAGAAATATTATTGTTCAATAATTCTATGGAAGTGCCATACTAGAACTAGCACTTCTAGAATTTCATACAAAGTTCGGTGATTTCAAACTTATCTTAAAAATCTCGTAAGAAAAATAGCAACCGATAAAATTGTTGAATTTCGACAATCACAGTCAGAAATTGCTTCTTCATAACTATTTCAAGATTCGTACGTAATTTAGAATAAGGCAAATTTTCATTAGTTCTCAAAAGTTCTAGTTTTCGTATGAACGTCGCTATTTTTTATAATGATATTGTTTCTAAAAATTATCAAACACTTTTCTGAAAATAACATAAAAACATAGCTCGCAATCCTTTAATTTTATTCAAAAGAGTACATTTTTACTGGTTATGAGTTATGTTTAATCGTTCTACTAATAATAATTTTTTTAAATAACAGTCGGAATAATAATAGTTATTGATTTATTTTATGTTGCTCCGAGCCAATTTGTGTCTATATTTTATTTTTCAGGCATTCTTGGTCGCAAGGTACAAAAATCATATCTTCGAGTTCCCCTTGAGGTGAAACAAGATATTGAATCTTATTATTTAGACGATAAAAATAGTATAATGTGCAGTGGCATGAAGGAATATGTAACCATAAAAAAACCTGGCGAACCAGACGTACTTGAACAAAAAAGAATTATAATTCATGATATATCAGATCTCTACAAGAATTCGATTGATGACAGAAATTACGAAACTGTACCATGTTTAGCATATTTTGCTAAATGTAAACCTGAGCAATGTGTTTTTGCAGGACAACCTGGCACACACAACATATGTGTTTGCCAAGAGCATCAAAATGTAAAGTTGAAATTATCTGCACTATTGCCATCATTAAATTACAAAGAAGCTATGGTGGCTGGCGTATGCTCTGTTGAAGAAAAAAAATGCATGTTAAAAAAATGTGATGATTGTCTTAAGCAAAATGGAATTCGTGAGTTTCTATTGTCTAAAATAAATGATCAGAATATAAATGATATATCTTATAGTATATGGACTTCTGTATCATTAAAAAATAATACTTCAGAAGAATCAACAAATCAACGAGTTTCGCTCAAGAACTTCATAGAACCTTTCAATGTCTTTTTAGATGAATTAGTTGAGGATATTTATAAGCTTACTGATCATCACTTTGTCTCTTCGGCTCAAAAAGATTATTTCGTACATTGTAAAAAGACTTTAGGCAAAGATAATGGATTGTTTATTATGGATTTCGCCGAAAACTATGCATACATAAGTCAAAATTCAACTCAAGGATTCTACTTTAACAATTCATCTGCCACATTATTTACTACAGCAGTGTATTACAAAGAGGAAACATCAGATGAATTAAAACATCAAACATTTTGCGTAATTTCAGAAAGTTTAGTTCATCAGGCTTACTCGATTAATAAATTCATGAAAGTAATAATAGATGACATCAAAATAAAATTTCCTTGGATTAAAAAATTAATTCATTTTTCTGATGGTGCCCCGACACAATTTAAAAACAAGTAAGCTCACATTCTTTAATAAATTTTTTATTATTTTATAATTTTGTTAATCAACTTTTATTAATATTAATTTAAAGAGATTATCTTAACAGTTTACATATCTACCCACCCTAATTCAAATGATCTTTCTTATAGGAATCATTTTATTAACTTGTGCTTCCATGCAGAAGACTTCGGAATAATAATAGAAGAATATAATTTCTTCGCTACTTCACACGGAAAGAGCGTATGTGATGGCATAGGAGGATTTATTAAACGGCTGATTCGAAAAGCCTCTTTACAAGGAACTCAAATTTTGAATGCAATTCAAATGTACAACCACTTGAGTACGCTCAAATTAGCTGTTCGGTAAGATTTGTTTTCACGATTCATGTTGTGAATAAGTAACTAAATAAAATTGTATTACGTTGCAGATGCTTTTATGTTAATGAGAGTGAAATTGTAGCATGGAACAAGAAACTAACCAAAAGATTCAATTCTGCAAAAACTGTGACTGGAACTAGAAAAATCCATTATGTTGAACCCATCGATAAAGATACTTTGAAAGTCAAACTATATTCTTTTGATTTAAATAAAGAAACCGTTAAGATTAGTTTATAATTTTAAGAAAACTATTATTAAAAAATAATTGGATGAATGATTGCTGTAAGTTATTTTTAGTTAAAATTCATTTTGTTTATGAATTCAAGTAATGTGTAACGACGACCCCTTACAAAAGTGATGGAAGAGCATTTGTTGTACTTTCATCGAATATAAATGTAAATATATATATATATATATATATATATATATATATATATATATATATATATATAAATATTTGAAATTTTCGAGATTTCTTCTTCACAAAAAATGCACAATTTATTAATTTGAATCGGCATTTTTCGAATAAGCAACAATAATCAAGAATGTTGATAAACAGTTGGAGGTACTTTTAAAAACTCAATTGATAGATCCACATTGCGATTGAGGGCCCTTATTTCACGCAGTCCCTTGATTGTAATAAGCCGAAAACAAGGATTATTTTGGAGGCCACAAGAAATTCATTAGATAGCTTGCCCATGCTTGTTTTGTTAACTGCCGGGAAGAGGAAAATCGGATATTTTAGTGGATTTATAGTAGGACTAAACGCTCGATATACTCCGTCAAACATATTGGACCTTGTTTGGGAACACTTAATAAGTATTCCCTGAAATTTTCAGCTCGCTCGAGCTTGATAGAAAAATTTCCGACGGGTTCAAAATTAGCCTAGAACGCTATTTACAGCGAAAATTGCTGACTTTGACAAGACGTAGCTCCCTTGCATTTAGGTTTAGAAAAACGGGCGGGATCGTATTTTCTTTGTCTTTTCAAGAGCTATCCAATACTGTCGTTCAAAAATGAGAATTATTGAGAACCAACGATACTACAGGACTTTAAAGATCAGCGAAAAACGTGAAAATTACAGTTCAGTTACAAGCCTCTAGGCTTCTTGGTATTGGTAAAACCTTCATCTTATATTACTTCGTTGGAAAGCCCTTAAAGAGACGAAGAAAATGCGACCCCGCCCGTTTCTGTAGCTTAAAAACTTGAGATTTGGGAGGTGTTTGAATATGGACCGAAAATGGCTTAAAAAAGGTGATTTTTCGAATTTTAAAACAGTCTTGAGGGCGTTATTTTGGACCTAGAGGGCTGAAATTTGGGGAAATTTACTTTTTTGTAATGCAGAATATATATTCCAAGTTTCAGGCCGATCGGTTGACCCCGTGCGCACACTTTTTTAAAAAGATGTTATTCTGACCCATATATATATATATATATATATATATATATATATATGTATATATATATATATATATATATATATATATAATTTTATTTTTTTATTGAAAAGCATTGTGTACATTGATCATATAATGTCTTGTTAATTTTAAACTAATTTTTTAACATCACCACTAATTGGATTATATTGTACAATACGATCGTGTAATATTAAGCAATAGGCTGCAGTATCTTCAGGAAAATCGGTCCGAGTTTCAAATTCTAGGCGAACATCGACTGGAGCGCTTTTTAATGTTTCATTTTGTTTGGAGCAGTCTATAACTATTAACGGCACTTTATTAATGAAATCCTTTTTATTGAGTAACGGCTCGTTTTCTTTCCCATAGTAAGCGTTTTGAAAATTAGTATACATATCGTAGAGAACAGCAAACTGATTTTGATTGATATTTAAATTGAGATTTCCATACGGGTAGCATTGTGAATTGAGGAATAGCTTCACATTACTAATATTACAATGATCAAAATTACTAGAATTAACACTTGCTAAACTTTTACGTTTAGTTTGCAAAGCTAAAATAACAAAGCGAGGCTTTTCCAATTGATTGGAAGTCTTAACACTCCAAACATGCTTTGATGTACGAGGTAATTTTGGATACTCATACATTTCCCAAGTACGATAACTCATAGTAATTGCACGATCTCGTCCAATCTGATTAAGTAATTTGATTTTTTCTTTGTCTGCAACCATCACATATGGCATCAACCATTCAACCTTAGTTAAAGTAATTTTTGATTTTTCTGAAGCATCAGGATTCCTTACTGGAATACTTAAAATAGCATTCAAATCATCTATTGATCTTGTGAGAATAAGTTCATGTCTGACATTGACTACAATTTTCCGATAATCTTCAGCAAAGCCCAGCAACATACTGAGAGGGATAGTCACATCAAAAAAACCTTGAGCGTTACATATTAAAACTTCATTGTTATCACCATTCCATCCGGCATTTTCAGCGATAGAGCTTTGACATGGATTGAGTGAAAGCAAATTTTTCATGAGGCTCGTTAAGCCTACATTTTTCACTTTATCAATTTCAATAGCATTTATTTTATATCGTATTTCCTCGAACAAATGACAGAGGGCGTTGTTGACTAATAAAGTGTTCTCCACTGGCGTAGTACCGTCCGGCTTGGTCAACCGACCACAAATATGAATCATACTGCGTGATGGAAGCAGAGATAAATCTTGATGTTGAATTGCTATATGGATTTCATCACTATTATTGAAATATGATAATGAATAAGGCTGATGCGTATGAACTTCATAATGAGCTATAGACTCATCGAAAGCGACACCTAAATGAATATCTAGAATTCCCTCCATATTGTTGTTGTTGTTTTATACAGCACACTAATATGCACAATATTTTCTTCCACGATTTTCAACGACTTTCAGTCTCAAGCTTTTCAGGAATTGCCTGTTCTGAGGTGTGAGCGGTCTGATAGCTCGCTGTTGACTGGTTGTTGATTGACATTTTTGTCTCTTAATATAGCCTCGACCGGACTTTATATTGTAAATGATACCCATTACTAAGATATGGTCTTTATATGTACTCGCACTGTGATGACTTCTCCTCGAAAGTTAACTAGGTTTCCGTCTTGATCAACTATACGAATTTGAAAATGATGAATGCTCCTCACAGCGACTGGAAGGTAAATGACTTAAGAGGGAACTTCTATAATCTTATATCCAGGTGGGACTGCTGGGAAAAATTCATATATAGTATGTACTTTGCGATCGTTTATGTAAGAGCCTGTAGTAATATTACACTCTACACGTAAAGCGTCGACTTTGAGAATAGTGACGGGTAAGTCAGAACTATGTGTTTCGTTTTCAACGAGCACACGTCTAGTGAAGCCTAAAATTGATCCAATAGAATCTTCTGGTTCAAAATGTATTTTTTGACTGCACTGAATCACACTACGTAAAGTATTATTATTTCGTTTCAGGCTAAACGATATACCTTTAGATGCTAATGGTTCTTGGAGAAAGCTTTCAATATCTTCTATTTCGTAGCTACCAGTTGGTAAAGTGATAGCTTCTTGACCTTCAATGTAAAACTTATTATAACCAACGTCAATGTTTGGTATTGAATTAAATGTTAATAGCCCAACTAGACCAAGAACGTATTTTTTGTTTGGTATCAATTCGATCGGTGGAAAATAATATGTTTTGAGTACGGATGATGTTCCTGAGAGACTCAATGTCAGTGTATTCTCCATGACAGATTCATGTCAAATAATAGTCATTCTTTGAATGAGTATCAAGTGTCGCGGTCGCGACACGCAGGCGAGTAGGCCTGCAATAGCGCCCGACACTTTTACAGTAAGATGGCTATATATTCGGATATTCTGAATTTTTTTTTTTTTTTGCTCTGTAGTATAGAAAAAACTGATTAATTTTCGGTGGTGTTAAAAGACTATGCTATTACTGTTTATTTAAACAAAGAATAACGTCAATCGATATATTTTTTATAAAGCTTTTTATATTTTGGAAGCATTTTTTTTATGTTGTGTCTGTTTCTCCGTCAGACTGTCTCACGCGTATATAATCTATTTTCTCTTGATTTGAGATAATTTTATCTTGATTTGAGATGATTTAATTTACACCTTTGGAATTAGAATCTATCTAAACTAAATCAGACCTTTCAATAATATATATTAATGAGTATTAATGAGCTAATATATATTAATGAATTCAATAATATATATTAATAATATATAAAAATAATAAAAACGATATTGTATTTTATTAGTATAAGTAAAGTATAAAACAAATATAATAAGAGATGCTAGCTAGCTATTAGTTATTAGCTATATATATATATATGGGTAATTCTTGGCTATTTCGATTGACTTGTAACCCTTAGGTTACGGATTTTTTTTTCATTTGGCACAATTGTTGTACACATAAAACTGAGATTTTTCCCAAATTTTGGAGACGATACATTAATTATATCAAAAGTTATTAACAATTAAAGAAAAATGATAAAAAATTTTCAAACGGCTATATTTTAAAAACTAATAAAGATACCGAATCGGATTTTTCCCAAATTACTTATAATACCTTGAACTTTCGAAATAATTACAACAATAAACAATAAAAAATTTTTTTCGAAAGTTATTAACTTTTTGTTTAAACAATTGCTAATATCTCAAAAAGTATATTTTTTTTTTGAAAAATTCTTGCTCCTACGTATTCCTGAGGATTTTTGCTATCGAAATCAATCATAAAATTCAAGGGCCCGACATATCGGAAAGCGTAGCCCTAATCAAAGGAAGACGCCTCGGCGTAAGGCTGCGGTAGCGCTCCAGCGGACTCACGGTCGAAAGGTACTTTAGCTTTAATCTAAAAAACTAATAAAGATACCGAATCGGATTTTTCCCAAATTACTTATAATACCTTGAACTTTCGAAATAATTACAACAATAAACAATAAAAAATTTTTTTCGAAAGTTATTAACTTTTTGTTTAAACAATTGCTAATATCTCAAAAAGTATATTTTTTTTTGAAATTTCTTGCTCCTACGTATTCCTGAGGATTTTTGCTATCGAAATCAATCATAAAATTCAAGGGCCCGACATATCGGAAAGCGTAGCCCTAATCAAAAGAAGATGCCTCGGTGTCAGGTCGCTTTCGACCGTGAGTCCACTGGAGCGCTACCGCAGCCTTACGCCGAGGCGTCTTCTTGAATTTTATGAATGATTTCGATCCTCAGGAATACGTAGGAGCAAGAATTTTTCAAAAAAAAAATATACTTTTTGAGATATTCGCAATTGTTTAAACAAAAAGTTAATAACTTTCGAAAAAAATTTTTTATTGTTTATTGTTGTAATTATTTCGAAATTTTAAGGCATTATAAGTATTTTGAAAAAAATCCGACTTCGATATCTTTATTAGTTTTTAAAATATAGCCGTTTGAAAATTTTTTATCATTTTTCTTTAATTGTTAATAACTTTTGATATAATTAATGTATCGTCTCCAAAATGTGGGAAAAATCTCAGTTTTATGTGTACAACAATTGTGCTAAATGAAAAAAAAATCCGTAACCTAAGGGTTACAAGTCAATCGAAATAGCCAAGAATTACCCATATATACCTATAGCTACAGTATACTAGTAAGTATGCTGCTGTGCCCTCAGTTTTTTATCAAGAACGCGACAGTCGACAGTTGGCTCACGTGTTTTTTTACAGGTTACCGGCTTTTAAGCTTTAGGCTGAGTTGTCTGTCTGAAATTATTACTACTTTTGTGTTAATGTGAGTGATATTTTATTTATTTAATAATTATTTTAATCAGTAGATGTGCCCTCAGTTTTTTATCAAGAACGCGACAGTCGACAGTTGGCTCATGTGTTTTTTTTTTTACAGGTTACCGACTTTTAAGCTTTAGGCTAAGTTGTCTGAAATTCTTACTACTTTTGTGTTAATGTGAGTGATATTTTATTTCTTTAATAATTATTTTAAGCAGTAGATGGAAAAATATAGTTTTGCATTGCATTTTAATAACTGATAACCCCAAAAACGAACACGATGGTGGTCCGTGATGTTACTGTTGTAAACCACTAAACGAATTACATTCGCAGTGCATTTTTTATGAGACGTGATGACTTTATGAATAGAAAAAAATTAGATTTCTGTTTGCTTGAGTGAATTGTGAAAAATGTGTGAATTTTAATAATTTTGTTTACTTATAGATTTTATCTGATCATCCATCATGCCTATAAACTCATTGGGAGATATGGTGGAGTATACTTCTAATGAGGATATACAATATCTCATGGAAGAGGAAGGCACTGACTACTCAGTGTAAGTGTTATTATATTTTTTATTGATGCTTTAGCTTTATGATATTTATAGAATTGTTAAATTAAAAAAATCTGTTTTCGTACATTTTTTGTAATAAAAAGAGAATCAGCGTCAAGCCTAACTGTGATAGTTTTGATAAATTGAATGCTGTTTTCAAATATAAAATAATAAGTAATATTTTTTTTCATGTAAATAATGTGTTCATGTAAACTTTTTATTGTTGACTATTCATGAATATTGTTATTGTTATTTAAACTATTATCATAATAGAAGACAATATAGGTATAGCTAGTTCTAATTCATATGTACTATGATAGCTAATCTAATGAGTATAGGTATCGCTACTTCAATTTTAATTTTTTTCATTCATATATATATATATATATATATTATGCTATACAATTGTCTTCATATTAGTCTATATATAATATTCCAATGACTCTATATTTATGTTTCAGTGAATTTGTTGGATACTTAGAAGAAGTCCTTGGGTACTCTAAGTCAGCCGATGGTAAACCTCTCTTCAAAGCCACGATCACCAATGGTTTTAAAAGAATTTGTCTATTAATTTGGGACACGGATACTGTGCAACATTTAGTTAAAAATTTCATAGCAGGAGCAGTACGTTTCTTTTTATTTTTCCTTACAATGTGTATTTTTTTATTAATAAACAATTGTTTTCAGATTGTACATCTTGATGGTTGTCAGGGTCGTATTGTCCAGCCACGAAAAATTCATGACACTCAGAAGCTGTTGAACTATGAAATAACAATTCACCCAACTTCCAAAGTACTTTTTAAGGGTTTCCATGTGCGAGTAGCAGTGCAGAATACGCCAAATGTATCTGCTATAGAACTTGCAGATGTTGCTAAAGCTACAGGAGAAATAAGTATGCTTTTTTATTTCCTTTCTTTTAATTACTCCGTCTCCTCTCTATTTCTCTCTCTCTCTCATATCTCTCTCTCCTCTCTTTCTTTGTCTCCTTCACTGTTTCTTTATAATTTTATATATATATATATATATTTTCTAATTGGTTTTCAGAGGTAAAGGCTTACCTTAAGACTGTAGTTGCAAGAGCTTACAATAAAGATGGTGAGATGCACTTTGGACAAGGATCTCTGACGGACAAAGTACACAAGCTAAATGTCAACAATTTTAAGCCAGAGGATGTTCCCAAAACCATGGTGAAAGGAGTTTGTGTTTTGGTAAAAGGTGTTGTGAGCCGTGAAGGTACTTATATATTTCTATGTATATATGCAATCAGTCAACTATATTTTTTCTATTTTAAATTTTAATTCTATATGTATTAAATATTTTCTAGGAAAACTTCGTATAATTTGCAGAAGCATGGCTGACATACAAGTACTTCCAGAAGAATCAACGATAACTGAAAAAGAGGTTACATCTGCCAATAAACCATTAAAACGATGGAACCCAGAGCATAGTCGTGAAGATAACGTAAAGAAGGCTAAAAAAATTCAAGATGAACCCAAGGTCACTGAAAATGATCAGAATTCTAGTTCACCTATGAATATCTCGGAGTAATTTTTTGTACACTGTCTTTTCTAAAAATTATTTATTATTTTAATCCTTACGACTCAATTCAAATTAAAACTGTAATTATTGACATATTCGTTTGTGATACACGAAACTTTTGTGATATAGTGGGTTGTGATGTTCGTATCACTTATAAATAAAAATAATTCGAACTCTCGTAATTTAGCTAATGAGTAAGAATTTGTTTCCGATGATTTTACTCTAAAAGCTAAGTGAAACAAATACAATAATTAAGTAAATCAAATATATATAAGTAATTATAAAATATCGAGGAAAGTCAGACAATGCCCTAGTTTCTTATGGTGCGAGTTGTCCCATAAGCAGAGCTAAAGTCTTTCTTGGATAGGATATAATTCGGCCCAAGTTTCTTATAGCGCGAAATGTTCTATAAGTCGAGCTCAAATTATAAGGAAAGGTTAGTCTTGCTTGGTAAATCACAATGAGAGAAAGAACTTAGGTGTTGATCCAAGTTTATTCAAACTCATGCGCTCACTTTGCAAGGCTAGAAGTGAATGAATCTAGCCTGTGCAAAGGTGGGCCTATTTATACACAGATTTTCCCGCTTATTATTGCAGGAGAGATTTCATCGAAAATTCGAGAGACATTCGCGAATTTTGAGAAATGATTTTTCTTCATTTACAAGTAAATAACCATTAATATTAAGTTTTTTACATATGTAAATTTTACAGAACTAGTTATTTGTTGATTTTATACAATATATAATTATCGCCAATAGTGTCGTCAAAAGTTATTAACTAATAAAGTTAATTAACGTGATATTACATTATTTACAATAGAAAATTATTAAAATTTCATATAACTTTATAGTTAATTAATTTTGGAAGTATTTTCCAAAATTAATTATTTTAATTAATTAATAACATTTGAATTATGACTAATTTTTCATATTTGTAACGGTTTTCTTTTAATCTTAATATGCGATTATTAGGTTAATTATCTAAGATTTCTAAATCATAAAATTGTAATTATTAAGTATTAACTTAATATTTTCGTTCTATATATCGCTTATTGTTTAAATAAATTATTAGTTGTTTATTTATTAATAACAGTTGTTATTTAGCTGTTATTAATGAAACCAATTCTTACTCATGTTCTATGCTTATTCATTTTACATATAAATTATTTATATTTTTCTAATATTTCATATGTTAATAAATAAATTAACTTTACATATCGATATTCGTTATAAATTTATGATTGAATAAGATATTGTGAATCTGTATGTTAAAATCTATATAATTGATACTTTGTTATATTCAAATTATCTATAATTAACATATTTTTCACAATATTATGATTCATTATATCTATGTCTATTATTTGTGACGTCACGCTATTTGTTTTGACTCGACTCTTATTTGTATACAGTCGCGTAAACAGTGAGGTAGCGCCGCTTAATGTATTGTTTTGACTAAACAGATTAATACGTTAGACTAGTTGCAGTGATTTAATAACAGCTCATAAATAGGACCGTTACAGGGTAAGGTTCACTCGTTTTAATGTTCAGTAGATATGTATGTAACAGAATGTCATTTTGCTGTTTTGATTCCCATTATAAGTAAGCATTTTTCCAAAGTTTAGCATAAAACATTCATTTAAAATCATTCGAGCATGAATAACAAATATTAATTATAAGGTAATTAAATAATGTATTTATTTATTTAAAAATAAAAATTGTATTAAATGCTGTGTTTCTTTGATTTTTTATTTTTCTTAAGGCAATTCCATTTTATGATCATCATTCATGGGATATTTTTCATTTTTTTTATTATTTTTGATCATATTACTTAATATTTTTTTATTAAAAAAATCAGAAAATCTTAATAGTAAAAAAAAGTATAAGGTAAAACCAACATTTTATTCAGGGAGTCAATAAAAATATCGTCAATAGAAATTTCTGATGAATATAACCTATTAGTATCTGTAGTGTATGCTACGCTACTAGTACAGTAGTGCTGTCTGTAGTTAGTGTCATTGTTCTGAAGTGATTTGTATTCCTTCTCATATCATCTTACAAAATAGTATTAGAGAAAGCTAGTTTGATTATTGGTATATAGTTAACTGAGTTCTTTAAGTTCCTCCGAAAACAAAACAAAAAAAAACTCAATTTATAAACGTTCATACTTTTCTAACCTCTAATATCCGTTCTGTAAGTTTTCTTTGATCCGTTTTTATATGTAAATTTAAATAATACAAATTCCAAATGAAGAATAAAAATTTTTTAGTCACCCTTATTCATCGTAAAAGTGATCAGATTTATCAATAACAAATAAAAGCTCAAGATTTTGATCATAACAAATGGAAACTCAAGAGTAATATTATTCTGGTGTGTATGTATATACATGTTTCTAATTGAAATATTTATTTTCTTTATCTGACTAAGTTCTCACATGGAAATTTTATTTCGGAAAATGTTTCTTATTTTTTCAGATTATTGATAAGATTTACTCAAGCTTATATTTTATTTCACAGATGCATTGGATTCAATTGATTGAGTTGCCCACTAAGTGCATTAGTTTTAAAGGCGTTGAAAAGTATTTTGTATTCTCAAGAGTCTCATTACAAAAATTTAGGTGAGCATACGTTTAGTAATTTTATCATTGCACACAGAGGGGAAAATTTCAAGTTCAAAGTTATTTTGTTCAATTCAAGAAAATTTTGTTCAAGAGTTATTATCTTATCCATGTGGATGATGAATTTGCATTGTTTTGTTGTTAGAACTTTTTGTTTTGCTTCTATTGTTTTATTGGAACTACTTACAATGATAACACAGGCCGACAAAAAATTTTACCAAGAACCCGAGTATAGTTTTCCGAAGGTTTTTTGCGCGCTGAATCCGAATCCGAGGTCAGAATTACTCTGGTGGCTCCGGTTTTCGAGATATCCTAACCTTAAAATGCAAAAAACGCGATTTTTGCCTATATTTGAGGTTATGTAGCAAAGAAAAGAAATTTTTTTTCAAAAAACTGTATATATCAAATTAAAGTATGAGTTTTCTTCTTTCAAATGCCGTTGAGTATGCTCGGATATCTTTTTTTTTCACGAAGTTACACAAATTTGAAAATTTCAAATTTTATGAATTTAAAAAGCACCACACCATTCAGCCCAAGCTATCTAACAAGTAACCATATTAAAGAGCCACTCACCAATTTAAACCAAACTTGGAAATATGACAAAACACTAAAAAAGATGGCAGATTCAAGATGGTGGATGAAAATCATAGAATTAGCATATTTTTGGTTGGAAATTAGTACTCGGGGGTTTTCGAGGTCGCTGAGTTCGAATATACTACCAAAATTTCGTTTTTTCAAATCCAAGATGGCGAACGCCAGATAGCGAATTCAAAATGGTGGAGGATATTTTTTTGAAATCAATATTTCGCTCGAAAAATAGTAACTTGAAGGGTTTCCAAAACCCCCGAGAATGAGTTTTTTTTACCGAAAAGCAGTTGATTAATCTTGCTTTATCCAGGGTCATGTGGGTGTGCCTGCTTAGGAGTTGGTAGGGGTGGTTTTAAAGGGTTCAGTAGGTATTTGGGGATGAGGCTTATCTAGGTCGAGATTAGTACGCATACCTGTGATTGGAAAATGAGTTTTTTTTATCGAAAAGCAGTTAATTAAACTTGCTCTACCCAGGGTTATATGGGTGAGCCTGTTTAGGGGTTGGCAGGGGTGGTTTCTACCCGTAAGAGAGCATTTTGTCAATAGAAGCACGATGCTCACAATATTTTTTAGTGTTTTGTCATATTTCCAAGTTTGGTTTAAATTGGTGAGTGGCTCTTTAATATGGTTACTTGTTAGATAGCTTAGGCTGAATGGTGTGGTGCTTTTTAAATTCATAAAATTTGAAATTTTCAAATTTGTGTAACTTCGTGAAAAAAAAAGATATCCGAGCATACTCAACGGCGTTTGAAAGAAGAAAACTCATACTTTAATTTGATGTATACAGTTTTATGAAAAAAAATTTCTTTTCTTTGCTACATAACCTCAAATATAGGCAAAAATCGCGTTTTTTGCACTTTAAGGTTAGGATATCTCGAAAACCGGAGCCACCAGAGTAATTCTGACCTCGGATTCGGATTCAGCGCGCAAAAAACCTTCGGAAAACTATACTCGGGTTCTTGGTAAAATATTTTTGTCAAATTCTGTCGGCCTGTGTAATCGAACAGTTAAAATCTTTCAGATTATTTCAAGAACTTACCGTCTTTTGAATCTTTGGAATATGAAAAATAGTTTTATTTTATACTTTTAACATTTTAACTCATGCATTTAATTTTTGTTTGTATGTAATAGCCAGTCCATAACTGCACAAATAATCAATAGTTGATTTTACACATTATAAGTATCGCCCCTTTACAGTAAATGTAATTAAGCATATAAAATAAAGCATTATTTGTTTGTAAATTAATACAAAGTTCAAGCATACACAGTATAAAATATCATTTGGATTCAAAATTTTCTGAAAATGTGAATATCTATAAAAGTAAAAAGTTAGACACATTCCAATTTTTGCAATCATTGTATCAGCAAATTATCAGTTTTAATTTTATATTTCTTCATTTTCAAGTCGTGTACTTTTATAATTTCCATTTATAGTTGCATTTATTTATTAGTTTTCAACGTACATTCTCTCCATTAATTATTAACTGCCCAGATTATTATATTTGTAATTTTTATTTCTTGATTGAGTTTCTGTAAAACTTCTGAAAGCAATCTTCATTAGAGAATTAACTGTCTTTCAAATTTCATTCAATTCATTGCACCAAATGCATTAGTTTATTAACAAACATTTATTACAGTAAGGCAATTTCAGCTACTTATGTTAAGTAATTTGAAATGTTTATTTTATTTGTATATGTGCAAAATAATTATGAGTGATAAAATTTCATTTAATGTCATTGGTTTTCACACTGATATTAAAATGTATACGTATTAAAAATAAATTTTTGTAACTTTTAAAACCAGCAAGTAATAAGACTTTTTTTTCAGGTTTTCTCTCCGAGGCTAAGTTTCATAAGATTTATTGATTCACTACCTTCGATTTATTTTTTTATATATACATAATAAATATTTTCTGTATATATGCAAACTTTTAGATATCTTTTAAAAATACACTAGCTATATACAGCAAACATATATTACATTGTGCCTTTATTTTGTACCACTACTGCACCTATACTGTACTTTATTGTTATTTATCCAGATTTATTGTACCATTACTGTACCTTTACTGCACCTTATTGTGATATATTCGT